CTGCCGCCTGCTGACAAAACACAGGATTTGCAGACTTTGTGGATAAATAAATTTCTTTTTTTTACTTTCCATCTTCCACATTGAGAAACAAACATTTAGTTTAGCATTAACTGTACATTTTCTTCCTCATAGTGGACCCTAATATTGTCTTAATAACCTTGAGGTAAAGAAAAATACAAGGTGGGACTTCCAGCTCCTAATACTGATGTGGGCGCAGTTCATAGCTGCATCACAGTGGGAGGGTGAGTTGTGTGAGCGGGTGGGAGGGGTTTTTTGGTTTTGGGGGGCGATGGGAGAGGTCAAGGAACAATCCAGGAGACAAAAATGATTTTCCACCCCTGCCTCTCAATAAAGTGTAGTGTTTGACCTCTATATCCTAACTTGCATGTACACATTTTTATTTCTAAAGTAAGCAGTGATGAGGCTGTGTGCTGTGTCAGGCTTACGGCGGTGAATTTCTGTAGTTCCTCTTGTGATTGCACTGAGAATGAGACCTGCATGTATGGAAAAGAGGCCAGCTGCCTTCCTTTGGGTTACGCTGTTCTGATTGTCGCCATTTGACTCTGAGCTCAAGTGCAGACGCCAGCTAGAGTTGGGAGAACCGGTCATCTCTTCCAGGCTCAGAAAATGTGAAGGCCTCCTACAAGCTTCATGAAACTCAGGAGACCACAGAACCTGGCTATACTGTTTTTATACATTCCTAAAACAGTTTAAATTTGTGCGCTTGAAATGAACTAGAAGAATTGGAAATTGTCACTTTCTTTATTTTTTTTCTATTGATTTCATCTTTTTTTTTTTTTTATTTTTATTTTTTATTACAAAGGGTATTACATATGTGTCCATTTTTTCCCCCCGCGCTAGACAGTCCCCTAGCCTCCCCTATTCCCCAGTGTCTTATGTCCATTGGTTATGCTTATATGCATGCATACAAGTCCTTTGGCTGATCTCTTACCCCCCTACCTCCCGCCCCCGAACCCTCCCCGGCCTTCCCGATGCAGTTTGACACGCTGTTTGAGGCAGCTCTGCCTCTGTATCTATTATTGTTCAAAAGTTTATAATGGTCTCAATTATCCATGAATAAGTGAGATCATGTGGTATCTTTCCTTCATTGACTGGCTTATTTCACTTAGCATAATGCTCTCCAGTTCCATCCATGCCGTTGCAACTGGTAAGAGTTCCTTCCTTTTTAGAGCAGCATAGTATTCCAGTGTGTAGATGTACCACAGTTTTCTAATCCATTCCTCTACTGATGGGCACTTAGGCTGTTTCCAGATCTTAGCTATGGTGAATTGTGCTGCTATGAACATAGGGGTGCATATATCCTTCCTGATTGGTGTTTCTGGTTTCTTGGGATATATTCCTAGAAGTGGGATCACAGGGTCAAATGGGAGTTCCATTTGTAGTTTTTTGAGGAAACTCCATACTGTCTTGGAAATTGTCACTTTAATTTTGTCATTTTCACATTGTTTGCCAGTCCTTTTTTTTGGGGGGGGGGGGGGGGGGGAGTTCACAAAAGTGGGCTTTTGAGCTATGAAGCTAAGGTTTAAAACACTGAAGGCATCTAAGAACATTAAAAATCTGAGGGGCTTACCTATTGTAATCCTGTTCTTATTTTACCCATCTGTCTAAATTTAGCCTTGGTGATTTTACTAGATTCTTAGGAATGTCAGGACTCGCCCTCCTCCCCAGCCCCCAGAGACCACTTCCCAGAAAACAAACTGGAAGCAGGAGGCAGCTATTCCTGAGGTAAAGATTTCCTAAAGATAAATATTATGGATGTTTGTGGTAAACATTTTCATTCCCTTTTTGTATGAGGAAAACAATGACTTCCAAGCCATATTGAGTAATTCCACACTATTTATTAAAAAAATTAATCTAGTCTCAAAGATCTATTTTCCCACAGTCTAATCCCATTAACTTGGATCCATGATGAGTCATAATTATTGACAGACAGCTGTGTGCTAGACCTGATCCTTCTGGAGTGTGGATTACATAAATTGAGGAGTAATAAACATAAGAGGCTGCCCAATATTAACAAATTAGACCCTTTTACTCTTACTAGACAAGAGGGATTTGTAACTAAAACATCTGTGAAGTCAAGCCCTTTTATCCTTGCATGAAAATAGTGTTCCCACACTCAGTTCTACTTTATAAAAGGATTGTATGACATACACTTGTAAATGTCTTAAACGTGTGGAAGTTCTTAGCTTTGAGGCTATTACAAACCCAGACTTCCAGTGTTTGTACATCACATTACTGTTTGTCACAAAGCAGTGTTTTAGAAACTGGTTCAAGACCTCTGAGGATAGCAGGTGACAGATTTGACACTACTAGTTACTTGGATACCCTATAGCCCATTTACCAACTTGTACTAGTTTTTGGCTTCTTGAATAGCCCTATATATAATGCTTGCAAAACATGTATATCTGTGTTTGCATAATTTAATAGTAGTAACTTTCAGCATTTGGAGTTTTGGTTTGTTTTTTTTACTCCCAAAGAAAATATGCTCTGGTTCACCATTTTTCTGAAGCAAGGGATCAGGACAGCGCTTTGCAATGTCTCAGGGAAAGATCAAAGAGCTACCTGCATGTCGATCACTCTTCGATGCGATCATTAAAGCCTGGAGCAGCACTGGTTCTGATATTGACTCTTCATATCACCTAGGCAGGATCTTTTCACCCTTGCCAAGCCTCTTTCCCCATTTATGAAATTAAATGTACAATCCCTGCCAGATTTGGGTAAAACAGAAACTTTGAGACAGAATTTAGTGTTATGACTAAATTCTTCCAGACCACATTCACATCCCTAACAGTCTCACCTGGGTTTCTTTGCTGCTACTGGAGATCTCATTCTTCTCTTCTTTGTAATTGAGACTATTTTCCACTATCACAAATAAAAGCAAACTTACAAGAATATGTAGCATTTGTCTTTCAAACAATTCAAGTGCAAAAGTAATGCAATAATAAAAGCTTGCCTTAAAAAAAAAAAAGTACTTTTTTGGGTTAACAAACAGCAGACAGGGGAATCCCACTTCTCCTCGGTTTTATTTGAGGGGGTGCTAAACACACCCCAGCTCTAGTGCTGCACAGTTGAGATCTCAAGCTTACTTTCTCATGCACCTGGACTAGAAGACGTGGCTTTACCTAGCACCCAATGTGCTGGGTGGGTATAGGCAACACCACCAGGTGAAATCAGAGCAATCCTTGGAAAAGAGAAAGACTGAAACTGATCATCTGTGGACATTTAAACTTGCCAGTTGTCTAGAAATACCCCTTTTTTACCCAAGACTGAGAGTATACATATGGTCTTAGTCTGAATGTGCACTTACCTTTGATAAGGTCTAAATTATTAATAGTTGGCACTGATCCAAGTATGAATGTTTCATGTTTCAAAACATTCAGTTTTCAAAAGATTTGCTACCTAATATTTGAATACATATGCGGATGAAAGTGAGATAAATGTGTGGTCTAAGCATCAGCTTTTTCCCCCCCAATTTTTTTTCCAACTTCGAATCCTGTGCTTTACACATGATACACATTAATAATAAAAAGCCTTACCCTTGACTCCTCAGGGGTTCACAGTGGCACAAAATTTAGGTCTTGCCCTCTTGTAAAGGGATATAATTAACATTTAAAAGGGAGCAGTGTTTGATGCAGGGAAGAGAAAGACAACAGAGGGGACACCTCCTAGATGGCTTTCTACAGCCCCCGTCCACAGCAGAGCAGCCAGGGGCTCTGAGAGACTGGGAAAAGCTGGTTGTCAAAAGCTACTTGAGGTCCTGGTTTTGTTTCACTAATCTGATGTTTTACTCAAAAGACTCTTACACTTGGGAAACAGTGGTCCCTGGAGGCCCCTATCCTTACCCCTTTGATAACCTGGGCTCGAATTCTCTAAGCCCAAGTAAAAGGATTTCCATCCCAAGACCAGCATCTACCTAGTAACCACTGCAGGAAGCAGCAGGATTTGGGTAAAAGCCATTCTCAATTTATATATCATGTGTCCTTATTGAAGACAGTTCTTACCTTTATAAAGAAACTCCATTAACAGGAACATCTGCTTCTGCAGGTCCTTGTTCTTGATTTAAATCATGAAAGAATATGAACAGTTTCAGTTTCCTTAACTATTTAAGGATGTACTGTAAGTTAGGCAAGCATCCTTGTCCCTGTTAGCAAATGTGGAATCAATCAAGTGGGCCCTCCCCCGCCTTAGGACTGAGGAATTCTGCAGGAAGGAGTCCATAGCTGAGAGAATTATGTAACACACCCAGCTCTCTTAGCTGGAGGCCCACCATGGTCCTTAGGGGCTGAGAAACTGTCTGAACCCCACAGTTACATTTATAAATAATCTTTTCAATACAGACCTTACAGGGCTACTGCCCGATAAGACTTAGAAAAGAAAGGTATGTGGAACCCTGTCTTAACTACTACCCAAAGAGTTTCTCTTGAGGTTTATTAATTTTAGATGATAAAGTTTACAGACTTCCTATTTTGGTTTTTCAGTTCTGAAGTTTTAGCAAATACCTGAACCAGGTTCTTTCTGTTATTCTTAAAATTACCCTTGACTTTTAACTTTTGTACCACCCACAAAATATGTATCAACTCATTTTCTTTAGTGCATCTATTCTTTAAAAGCATTTTCCATGCTTGTAAGTATGGTGGAGATTGAACCCCCTATGTCCTGCAGCATAAGAATGTCCACACTATTTAAATAGCTTCCACTCCTGTGAGGTTTCCTTACTGGGAACCAAGGTATGATAATAACTAAATCTCCTCATAGAGCAGAAGGGAGCTGGACTTCAGAAATGGACCTGGTTTGAGTTCTGGCTCCCTCAACCAGTAGTGGGGTAACTTAAAGGGAATAGTATACTTTATTGGAAAAGCATAACTCTTTCAGCAGGTTGCTTTGAGGACTAAAAGGAGAAGTACCATGCAAAGCACACTACAGGTTTTCAATACATATTCCTTTTCTCTTGTCCAAAAAGGTTGAGAGGTAAGTTAGCCTTGACTGATGAAAGTGGTTTATTCATCTTTTCCAGAGACACTGCAGATATATTAAGTATGCCTAGCTCAGGATGAAGACACTAGGCTCAGGATCTTTAACTTTCAAATATTAATTTACCAACCTTTTGTCAAGCTTGTATTTAACCTTTAAAGTAAAAACCAAACAAAACAGAGAAGCATAAAACCCTCCCAGTTACAGTTGGTAGGATTATTTGGGGTATTAAAATGAAGACTGTGAGCACAGAGCCTAGGACTTAGGAGGTGCCCACATTTTTACTGACAATCTGTACAGCCATGCAGTCTCTTGGAAAAAGAAAAACAGTCGAAGAACCTACAGTTTATGTGACATTCATGTATAGTAGTGTCAAATGCTAAATTAGAAAACTGACCCCAACTCAAAATCCCTACTTGTGACTAGGGTTCACACTCCCCCGGCACCCCCCTGCAGGCACTGAGTACTGTAACCTAAAAGGGGAGAGAGCCACACCTTCCCCAAAGAAAAGGAAGATGGATTTAGTGTCAGGCTCAATTAGACCCAATTATGAAGGCTCTTCAAAAAGGAACAATGCAGCTTTTGTGATATGCTCAAGCAGAAGGCTTGGACATTGTACAAAGCAATCTTATCCAAGAGAAACCCGGTTCTAGCTCTCTTCCTGGAAAGAGGTGCTTATCCAGGAAAGTTTTATACCACTCTTATCAGCTGTTGCTGGGATCGGTACTTTCTGTTTAAAAAAATTTTTCAGAAACAACTATGAAAGATCTATGTGAACCAGGAATATAAATCACCTCGCTGTTTGAGCAGCATTTATACTCTTCCATCTCCAAAGTCCAACCACAGAATGTCAGATTATTTAGTTATTGTCTATCAAAGGGAACGCTTTGCTAAAATTGTTGGTTTTCATTTATCTGCCCCTAAATACAGTCTTAAGAACCCTCACCCTCAGCGTTGGAAGTGCTTAAAATGCAAATGTGCAGGAACTCCTGGCCAACCTCCCCATCCCCCAGCAAAGTGCTCAAATACAGCCAGGCCTGGAGGAGAATGTTAAAAAGAGGGGTGGGACTGCCCTCCTCCTCTCCCTAGGACCCTCACTCACACTGAGATTCAGTATGCATGACTGAGCCAGCGAGCGAGGAAGCAGGGACAGCCCTCTTTTAACTTTTCTGAACAATGGCTTCAGTTCCCTTCAGCCTTCACCATTTCACATCCTCCCCACACCCACTCAAAGTGTAAAGAAACCCATCTTTCTTCCCCACTTCCATATCTCACGACCTGTTTTTTGAACATCACCCCTAGATGTAATTTCCACCCAAAGAAAAATTGGCTACTCTGAGGAAACTGTGACTCTTACAAATCTGGTTTTTAAAAAAGTTTCATTTTGTTCAGTTTCTGTAAATTTCCATTTTGTTGACAGTTGAAAACCAAATTATATAAATCTCCAATCTCACCATATTTCTAAAAACAAAACATTTAGATGTCAGTAGTAAACCTTTACAGATACATTTTTAACCATGAGCTTACTCATAGCACATAGGACACACCAAAGTCTATGTCTTATTTCCTTTTACTTGAAAGCACACAAACAGCACCTCTGACTTTGGCATGTACCCAAACACACTGCCTTCAAAATAATTCACAGATACAAGGGGTTTTTTTTTGTGTGTTTTTTTTTTCAAAAACATACTTCATATTTCCTCTTTTATTATATAAATATCAGTTTAACCTTTTACTGTAAGAATATAAACGTTTTAAGAGGATCTTTGTTATTATTTATACAAATTCACAAACAGTACAATTAATTGATAAAGGTCTCTGGGTTTCTTTTAACTCCATGGTCTCGAATGTTGCTGTGGAGGATTCTAAAAAAAACAAACAAAAAAATCCAACAAAAATATACATCCTACTGAAAAGCGATCTTTTTTAAAGCCACAAGTCCCAACCCCCACCAAAATAAAGTCATCTACTCCTCCGTTTAGAAACAGAATTTTTAAAACCCATAAATTCCCATTTTATTAACAGAACAGAGATAAGACATGAATTTCAGTCTCCTCCCCTTCACATTATAGCCCCAGGGGCTCTGCAGGCCAACTCTGCTCCTCTGCTTCCAACAGGAAGCCTCACTGGATGACCTTTTTTGTGAGGAAACTTGGAAGAGGGTGAGGGTAGGGCAGAATTTGCATATATAATAGTAATTTTCATGACAATCTGCATCTCAAACAAACAAAACAGTCCAAACTCTCATTTCTCCCACACATTTGTGCTATAAATTAAGTCAAGATTTAGGAACATCGTTGGGCTCTCAAATCCCAATGGACAAAGAGAAAAATAATTATAGCCAAAATGTGGAAGTGGGACATACTGGATGGATGGGGTGGGGAAGAAGCCAAAACGAAAAAGACACAAACGCAATGGGCATCTTTCCAGTCTAGGCACAAAAATGTTTTAGTCTCAAAATATCTCTCTTGTAGAATTCCAGGGCTTCAGAGAAAAAAGTAAACTAAAACGAGGTAGCCAGACATATATATATATATAAAATTTATATATATATAATATATAGAATATATTCAGCAGAAAAAAAGGACCATGATTTCAAATCTCTTAAAAAAAGAAAAAAAAGGACAATAAAAAAATGAAATGAGCATGAATAGAGTACTGTAAAAAGAGAAATGATGAGAAGAGACTGGGATTAGCTACAAAGTGGAAGAAGGGTGAAAAGGCCGTTGTAGTTGGGTTTGATTTCATACATTTCAAAATAAAAACCAGATCACAGTATTCAAATGAAAGCTTAAGTGAAAGCAGACATTTTCTTCAACTCCCCAGGGTCAAAGGACTAGTTACTCCCCACCCCCACCCCCATTTTGAAATGCAACGCAGTGGGGATACAGTAGCTCAATCGGCCCCTCCATTCCCCAGTAGAGAGAAGTGGATAGGTAAGTAGCTGAGTCCCTCTCTTCATCCTCAGGGAAAAAGAGAGGGGAGTACGGTAGGGGTAGCAGAAGAACCCCCAAAAGCAATGAATGGGCATGTAAGCGGGCAGGGATGCTGGAGGAGGGAGGAGAAAATGGGCCTGAGGCTTCGTGTCACTGTCCCATCGCATCCACTGCCATGATCTACGAATAAGTGTGCATGTGGAGTTGAGAGTGCAGGGAGGGTGGTGGTGACAGGATGATGAAGAGGGCGGGACAAGGGGAGTTGATGCTGCCACCCTCACCTGACCTTCTCACTGTCCGTCATCTGCCAGAGTCCCAGGTTGAGTACCTTGAGGCAGGGCAGCTGTGTGATGCGCTCCAGGCCGCGCTTGGTGATTCGGGTACAGCCGTACAGGTCTATGCCAGTGAGCTGGCTCAGGTGCTCAGCAATCAGCTCCAGGCCCTTGTCGGTGATGCGCACACACTGCCCTATGTTGAGCGTGCGCAGCCCGTGCATCTGCCGCACCATGCGGTTGATGCCATCATCGCTGATATGGCAGGAGCAGAGGGAGAGAGACTTGAGGCCGTCCAGCCCCTGCGCTATGTAAGCCAGGCTCTGGTCCCCCACCTTGTCACAGAAGGACACATCCAGTCCTGAGAGGCGCAGGCTGCCCATGGCCAGATGCATGATGCCCGTGTCACTGATGTTGTCGCAGGAGCGCAGGTTAAGGCTGCGAAGGCTGCCCATGTGCGACAGGTGCAGGAGGCCTGCGTCGGAGATTCCTCCGCAGAAGCTGAGGTTGAGGAGCCTCAGGCCCGTCAGACCCCGGGAGATGTGCTTTAGAGAGAGGTCGGTGAGCTTCTGGCAGTCCTGCAGCGTGAGCTGCTCCAGGCCCAGGCAGCCCTCCGCCGCGCTGCGGGTCATGCCGGCCAGGTGCCCGATGCCCACATCCGAGAGGTGGCGGCAGCTGCGAAGATTAAGGCTCTTGAGGCGCTGCAGGCCCCAGGCGATGAGCAGCAGGCCGGTGTTGGTGATGTTGCTGCAGCCCCCCAGCTCCAGCACCTCCAGGCCCTTGAGGTACTGGGCGATGCGGCCCAGGCTGCTGTCGGTGATCTGCTTGCAGAGGCTCAGGTTCAGGGCGCGCAGGGAGCCGATCTCCTGCACAAACGCGTGGCCCAGTCCGTTGTCGGTGAGGTTGTAGCAGCCACTCAGGTTGAGGCTCTCGATGTTGGCCATGCCCTGGATCACGTAGCTGAGGCTGCGGCGGAGGCTCAGGATCTGCACCCGGCGGATGCCCCGGGCCTGCAGGCTGGGGA